TCCCCTGCCCCCCCATCTGTGCTATTTGAGGCGTGATTAACCCACCCCTTCGTCTGGGTGACTAATTCGAGACTAGAGCCTCATGTAGCAAAGGCATGGTCATTAGACTTACTCTGAGGCTTTAGCCTCGAATTACTTACCCAGACGCAGGGGTGGGTTAATCACGCTTTGAATAGCACAGATGGGGGTGGCAGGGGTCAAGTAAAATACATGTACCAAGGCGAAAGCAGACGGATACTACGGGGCAAGAGGGAGACTTTGATAGGACCCAGGGAAGGACTATGTAACAATATGACAGACTCTGGTCAACATTCCCAGCACAAGGGTGAAGGGGGTGATAACGACATTCTGGAGTGTGAAGGGTTTTCATGAATGCCGCTCGAAGGAGCACACGACACCACAAAAATAAGCACGGTAAAAATTGTGACAGGCAAGGCATGATAGGAGGATATAGGAAATGTGAATAGCCCAAAAGGAACTAGCCCCTTAATATCAGAGATCCATTGGCTAGCAATCGACTGCAGTAAATGCAGCGGCACTTCCGTCAGCCATTTCATTTGCTGCAACCTTAAACCTACAGCCCCAGTTCCTTCCGTACTGTCCTCAAATATAAGATATTGAGTCTCCAATAGAATTCAGCAAACTATACCTCGCCCTCACATGGTTGCTTGTTGTATATCATCTGTACTAATCAGTTTATTGCCACGTCCCATTTTGTTGGGATAAGTTTACCGATTAGTCTGAATTTCCTATTATCGGATGGATTAGAAACTGAAACTCTTCGTGAAATACAGCCACACTAATTAATGACGCTAGGCACAGTTTACAGCAGCGGTGCTTGGAGTTGCTGTACAAAAGCAAAGAAGACTAAACTCCTTGATTCTCCAACTCATTAATTTTTCGTTCCTAAGTAGGATTTCGAGGCTACCAGCAAATCAGTTATATGGGCTGTATTCATCCTATTTTGTTTAAGGTGATGAAGGACTGGTAGTTGAATTTTCCCGAAATCATATGAGTAGAGCTGATTGACATTTCCATTGAATTTAAACTGAGCCTTAGTTGATTTTATGTTGAGAACCTACCTAAACTGTCTTCGACATGCTAACAAATTCCAAAATATTAACCAATTAATGGTCATATTGGTAGGAAGACTAATTGGAACGCACCTAGTCCGGGGTCCATTGTCTGCATGATCATTT